ACTCCACCGGTCGACAGTTTTTGTTTACACATATTGTAGATGAGGCCACTCTTTTCCAACAAGCTGTTGCCACAGGCCGCACTACTGAAGAGCAGTACGAAATGTTGACTGCGCAGTGGACCAGTTGGGCGGGACCCCCAAAGTTCCTGTTTGTTGATCCGGCAGGGGAGTACGGGTCTGAATATTGGGTGGAGCGGCTCCAGAGGGATAATGTTCATACCCGGGTAAGCGCTGGTGGTGCCCACTGGCAGTTAGGTAGGACTGAGGTTCATGGCAAGCTGTTAAAGTCAATGTTGACTAAGATGGATTGCGAGAGCCCCATCCAGACAGATTCGGACTTCCGTGAAGCTCTAAAGGCGGCAGTGCAAGCGAAGAACAGTCTTTCACGTGTCAAAGGATACTCTCCGGAGCAAGCTGTTTTCGGAAAGATGTCTCGCTTGCCGGCGTCATTAGTGGCTGATGAGGGAGCGGCTAGTCACGCGCTGGCCGACAGCGATACGCCGGAGGGACTTGCCTTCAGAAAGAGCCTGCAGCGACGTGAGGGAGCTAGGGTAGCGTTCATTAGGGTTGATAATGATTCTTCCTATCGTAGGGCTTTGTTGCGCCGCTCCCGACCCGCAGGGACTCGTTTTGAAGCAGGTGACTGTGTGTTGCGCAGACAGGGCACGGGGACTCGTGGCGAGCGGGGTCGATGGCACGGCCCGGCACAAGTGATATGTTCAGGGGAGAAAGTGATTTGGATATCACACAGTGGTCAATTGATCCGTGCTGCGCCTGAGCAAGTGCGGTCTGCGTCACTGAGAGAGTGGCGTCACCTCACTGAAAGTCAAAGTGTAACAGCGGGTCCTAGTTTCCATGGGGAAGGGACTCGAAGGGTTTTAGATCTCATTGTAGGTGGGGTGATGCCAACTAGACACGAGGTTGAAGCAGAAGGCGAGGCTCCCCAAACGACTCCCGACCCGGTAGGACCTGGTGAAGTAGTGGTAGTGTCTCAAGGGGGTACTCCGACAGAGGGATTGGGGCAAGCTGAGAGGGCAGAGCAGCCTGAACGAGAAGTTTCGCCTGCTGTTTCGACAAGGGATGCAGAAGACTTGCCAATGGCCGTGGATGCTTCGCAGATTCCTGTGCCTGATGATGACAATGATGATGAAGATGAGGTGTTGTTTGGGGATGCTGAGTGTTTTCTTCAACATCCAACAAGTGAACAGGCATGGGAAATTCAACTGCATGAAAGCGAAATTCCCTTTCAAGATCTGCCATCGCCATGCCAAGCTTTGCATTATGTAATGATTGCAACTGAGGAGCGCAAAAGACGGGTTGAAGTTAGGCTCCGAGACCTCTCGGCTGAAGAGCGTGAGCTTTTTGTTCGAGCCAAAGATAAAGAGGTAAACGCTTGGTTGGATCACCGCACGGTTCGCAAAGTTGCCGGAGGCACCTTGGATGACAGTCAACTCATGCGCTGTAGGTGGATTTTAACATGGAAAGCACCGGAGCATCCTGGTGGCCCTCAGCGGGCAAAGGCTAGGCTGGTTGTTCTAGGGTTTGAAGATCCTAATATAACTGAAATACCAAATGATGCCCCAACGTTAGGAAAAGACGCCCGACAGTTGATTCTCCAAAAAGTTGCCAGCAACAAGTGGACGCTTGTGAATTTTGACATTTCCACGGCCTTTTTACAGGGCCAGGGAGATGGGCGAAAGTTGGGAATCAAGCCACCAGAAGAGTTACGACAGGCCCTTCGGATGTCGCACACAGACCAGTGTCTTCTAGAAGGTGGGGCATATGGAAGGATTGATGCTCCCTTCTTGTGGTTTCAGACGCTTAAGCGCACATTAGAAGAGCTGGGCTTTGTGCAGTGTCCGTTTGATGCCTGTTGCTTTTCACTGGTATCTCAGCAAAGGAATGGGAGTCCTAAGGTTCACGGTGTATTGGGTATTCATGTGGATGATGGTTTAGGGGGCGGGGACCGGTACTTTGCTGAGGTATTGGAGAAGCTCCGACGGATCTACAACTTCGGATCGTATGATGAGGGGGAATTTGTTTTTACTGGTATACGGTATAGGCAGTGGGATGATAGTAGTATCGAGTTTGATCAGAAGTCATACATCGAAAAGATTTCCCCGATTCATATTTCCCGTGAGCGTCGGCAAGACCCAACGTCACCGCTGACAGATCAAGAGGTTCGTGAGCTTCGTAGGCTAAATGGAAGCCTGCAGTATGCCGCAGTTCATTCAAGGCCAGATCTAGCAGCGCGTGTAGGGTACCTCCAAAGCTGTGTCAACAAAGGGAAGGTTCAACACCTTCTTGAAGCAAATCGGGCGTTGCAAGACGCCAAGGCGAATCCTGTTTCAATCATGGTAGTGCCCATCGAAGAAGGTCAGGTAACGTACTGTACTTTCTCTGATGCTTCTTTCGCTACAAGCAAGGATAATCATTCGTATCAGGGCACTCTCGTGTTCGCCACAGATTGGAGGATGCTGGCAAATCAAGAAGCGGTAGCTGTTCTAGTTGCTTGGACCAGCCGCAAGATTAACCGGGTTGTTCGCAGTACTTTGAGTGCAGAGGTTGTCTCTCTTTGCGGGTCGGTAGACAGAATGTCATGGATAAGACTCATGTGGGAGTGGTTCAAAGATCCTAGTGTAGACATCGCCAACCCAGAGAGCATTCTGCAGAAAGCTCCTCAAGCCTCTCAAGTGACTGACTGCAAATCAGCGTTTGACATAGCCACAAAGACTGCAGTACCTTCCTGTAGTGAGCTCCGCACACAGTTGGAGTGCTTGCTCCTGAGGGAGAGGCTGAGCGAAAACTGCCGGATTAGATGGATCCACTCCAAAGCAATGCTCGCGGATTGCTTGACGAAAGTCATGGATGCTTCAGTCCTTCGGAAGTGTATTGAGGGAGGCACTTATTCTCTCTTTGATGAGCAGGGAATCCTAGAGAGTAGAAAAGGCAAGAAGCAAGCAACGCAGTGGCTCCGAAGTTCCAAAGATACGGCAGTTAAGACGGCCGACAAGTGAATCTTTTAAGATTTTAGAGTTTTGACCAGTGTTAAATCAGCAGCTCTGTCCGATTCACTTGTCAATTGTCTGTGTCCTGTCTCTGCGGCCGCTCAACAGCTCTCTGAGGAAGTGGAGGGAAAGGGTTGAGCTTGAGGCCAAAAGCGAAGGGTTCGTCAACAGGGCTACTTCTGGAACAGGGTTCCTTATCATTTTGGCCGAGGTCGGCATTCGGACGTTCAGCTTTCGGAAAGCAACTACACATCAGCATCAGGCCAGGGGCCCAGGGTTTTGCGGTTTAGGGACAGGTCGGGCCTAGGGGTTTCACAATTAGTATTACTATTATCATTATTATTATTAGTATTATTCTTATTAGTATTATTATTATTAGTATTAGTATTATCATTATCATTATTATTATTGTTATTATTATTGTTATTATTATTGTTATTGTTATTACTATTATTATTACTATTATTACTATTATTACTATTATTACTATTATTACTATTATTACTATTATTACTATTGTTATTGTTATTATAATTATTACTATTATTACTATTATTATTACTATTATTGTTATCATTATTATTATTACTACTACTACTATTATTATTATTATGATTATTATTATTATTATTAGTGTTATTATTGTTATTAGTGTTACTGTTTACTGTTGTTATTATTACAATTATTGTCATTATTATTTGCAATTTGTATTGAGAATGCTTGTTAGTTTTCGCAAGCGAGCACACTGGCAGCTGCCCTTTCCATCCTTATCACGTTCATCGGGTGCTGCAGGTATGACATTGAGTGGAAGGAGGCTGCGATTGTCGGCAACTCCGAGGATGCGACGAAGACCGCCCTTCAGGGTGCTTCACTGGTCGTGTGCTCTGCAGGCTGGGTGGCCAGCAAGATTGAGCCTGTTCTCTGCAGAAAAGCGTTGCTCTCTGAGGCAAGCACGGGGAGAAGTTGATCAAGCTGGTCGGACTGCCCAATGCCAGTACTGTTCTCAGTTGAAGGTCACTGCATTCGCGTTCTAACATTGCGTGCAACCTCATGAAACTCTTCCTCCTATGTTGAGCCCTCGCCTCGGCACGGTTTGCACATCGACCCATCCACAACACTAAGCGACCTTCACTCCTATGGTGGAAGTCTGAAACCAGACACCTCTCTCTTTCAGCTGGTTCGCTTCAATGTTCAGGGACTTCCGGCCTTGTGCCTCAACGTTTTCGGCTTTAAGCTTTCGTCGCAGTCAGTTATTGCAGTCGGTTTTAGCAGTTCTTAAACTGTGTTGGAGTATGATGGGTTAATTATGTTGCTTATGTTCTGTCGTCAAAGAACTCACGATCTCGGTGCTGCTTTTTTCTGCTGACTCTACTGACTTGCTTGTGACATTGCCTTCCGTTTAAGGACCGGCAGAAAGCAGGAGAAAGTGGATGCGGAGCAGCCCCTGCAAGTTAAGCAAGAGGACTGCGCGAAGAGGCGTCGATTGAGCCAGAAGAGTCCGGACATCTCAGTTCCATCATGGGACAACTTGGAGCACTACTTTATCCACCGCACAGGCTCAACGCAACACAAGGCAGTCTTGCTGTACATAACTTCACAAAATTTTCTTGTTGCTGCTGATACTGGCCATACGGTCCGATCAACTGGAATGTTGAAGAGTTTTAGCGGTCTGACTCGTCTGATAAGTTGCAAACTGATACTGTCCTTCTGGCTACGTGCAGTGCAACCTGAGCCTGAGCCTTCAAGAGCTGCTGGATCTCCGCCCAACACTCCGGCGACTCCCAGACGATGAGGTGCGTACCTCGCAGGAACCGCTCTCCCCCTTCGGCCTTGGCCGAACGCATAGAAGATCAGTGACCGCGCTGCCACCAACTGTACCCAGTGGCAGTTTGGAAGACCATCACTTCCAAAAATAATCTGATTCGTGGTGCCTTGCAATCTGTCCGGATTGAACCAGAATACAGTTTGCACTCATGCAGCTCATACTCAGAGCTAATCGGAGTCCTCATTTCCCCCTTGGAGTCTCGCCAGTTCATCTGGGTCTACTTCCAGCTCTGTGCGTCCTCTCCACAGATTTTCATGTGGCCTCTCAGGATCTGGATTCGTGAAGCGGTCATCCCAAATGACCCTGTCCCCATTGGCAAATCCCTGCAGCGTGCGTCGCTGTCCTGTAAGAGCACCGAGAGGAATTGGCGTAGGCGCCTGTTCCGGATGGAATAATCCCACACGCGGCCGCATATGCCATCTCACCAACACTCGTGGTCTCACATCGGGCACGTAGATGTACTGATCGCCGTGGTAAGCCGGATGTGGCTCTTGATACAGAGAACTCGCAGGACCACCCCACTCAGATGCCATTGTCCGAAGCTCTCTCACCGTCAGCTGTGGTGGCGCAGGCCAAAAAGGGTGAAGCACGATAGGTACCATAGGGGGCATGTTCAACATCCCCTGCAGGACCTCCGCCCGCTCCCTGGCTTCCACCAGACGCCTTAACGGACCCCCCTCCTGAAAACTCGGCAGCGGCGCGAGGTCGGAGACCCTAACGACACGCTCAGCTTCCCTAGGAACATCATCGGACCCGACACCTCTCACTTGCGGCAACGGCTCATCATCAGGTTCGGGAGCATAAACTCTCAAAGCGTGACGTCTTCTAATCCCTGCCTGCTCTAGGACCTGCTGCTCTGGTTCAGTATGATAGGCAATCGTGGGCCTACGAGGAACAAGATACACGACATCATCAGCGTACCGAAATGGCATCACACCAGGGTCCTCATCCAGAGGCTCAGCGGTAACCTGAGGCCTATCAGTTTCTACCAAAAGATCCTCGTCATCAGGTTCCTGCTCCCGCTCAGATTGGGAAGCTTCTGAGTCTGGCTCAGGCATGTCCGGTAACACGAACCTCCGGCAGCTCACCCGACAGCCCCACTTGACGATCTCCCAGACAAGAATCACCAACACGCTCCAGAGCAAGATGACTCTCCAAAAACCAAAATCATCCGAACCCTCACTCAACGGTTGACCCTTAACTGATGCCACGCAAAGTGCAGCGACAACGACTCTAAGAGCTTCCTCAACCGGTGGACCGGACGAGACAGTGGCAGCTGCAGGACGAGCAGTGACCTCTGAGAGGCTAACAACTCCCATCATGGCCCGAAGCATCTCGAACCTCTGAGGCTGGAGTGCCTTAGTTCCTAAATCAGCAGTGTTTCTGGCACCCTCAACATGAGAAACTGAGCACTCCCCTTCACTGATCTGCTCTCGCAAATGGGCAGCCCGAATCCTCAGGTGGCGAGTTCGCCAGTTGGTGGACGGACTGTTGCAGATCGTGGTAGCTGCAAGGTTATCATTGAGAACCCTTAAATCTATCTTGCACCCCTCAACCTCCTCAATCACGAACCGCTGCGACCTCCCGTACGAGAAGCCAGTGGTCAAAGAGAGCAATTCGGCTTCAGCTGTGCTAGACGCTACGAATGGCTGTCGAGTTGACAACCAACCCGTCAATGAACCCTCAGTGTACACCATTGTGGCCTCATGCGATCTCTCACAGGTGGGCGCGAATGCTGCGTCCGTTTGAGCCTCTACAACATACTTGCCAGTGACCGAAGCAACCGAACCTGGCTCACCCTGAACTGGATACTGATCAGTATACAGGAGGCCAAAGTCTTTGGTACGGCACAAGTATCCTAGCAAGTGAAGGCAAAGTGGCCTAACTACAGCTGCATTCTTGGACATCGCCTGAGAAAGACGAGAAACCGCAAAGCAAACATCGGGCCGCGTTCTCGTGCTAACCCACAAAGCTTCTCCTAGCATGGCCTGGCACTGTTTGAGGTCGCTGGCTGATTGCTCCTCTGCGAGTGGTATGTCCAAGGTTCCTGGGGGAAGAGGCGTAGAGGGAGCGGGAAGATCATGATACCTCGTAGCAAGCTCCTTTACGTAGTCCCTCTGGCTGAGATGAAAGCTCCTACCAACTCGCCTGATCTCATACCCAAAGAATACCAAGGGCACCTCAGACGTGTCCTCAGGCAGAAAAGATACAGTGCCGCACTGCCAGAGCTTTGAAATCTCATCAAGCAGCGGCCGGATCACCGCCAGCGGTCCCGTAGCGAGAAGATCATCCACGTACACCATCAAGCAAGCCACGACAGGATCCGACTTACGGCCGGTGGTCAAAAACCACAGGTTGTTGTCAACGTCCGACATCACAAGCCGATACTCACAAGTGTCAAGCATCAAGCGAATCGTGCGCAGATCCTTGTCGCGACGTATGCCCCAGTCACGCGGGGATTGATCTAGGCCATATACGGCCCGCTGGACAAGCATCAAGCTGCGCGCAGGCAACAAACCATGCCTGATCAACAGCGAGGGCGGACGGAGCACAACAACTTCCGACGGAACCTCTTGTGAGAGCGGAGCTGGCTTAGTGAGCGGGTTCTGGCGATCTAAAAGCTCAGCATTCAAAAATGCCGTAGAGACGTCAGTAGTGCCAGCTGACCATGACCCTTTCTTGGCAGCATGCGCCAACACCTGTCTAAGCACTGCCGCGTCGATCCCGCCGGCGTACAAGTCCACACTTGCACTCCGATTCTCACCGTCCTTGCCACCAAGATCAACGTAGTTGCCACACGCCACGGGCCTTGAATCTACCACCACTCTTTCTGGTGCACACAAGCTTGCTTGGGATGACCATGGCACGCGTTCCAGCTTCTTGGTACTTGGTCAGCTCTTCCTCAGAAATCACCTTGAGAGCCTGCTTTTCATGTGTCATCGAATGCAGCTCCTTTTCAAGAGCATCCTTCCAAAGACCATAGTACCGCTCTACCTCAACCAAGGGCACCGTGTGCGTGCACAGAACCTCAGCATCTGGCAACAAACTGTACACCAGCTCTTCGCCAGCCTTGGCACAGCTAGTTTGCTCCAGCTCAAGGATCTTTCGAACTACGGCATGCCTTACAGCGTCATCAACAAAGTCATCGTCAGCAAATTGCGTTGGTTGACTCACATCCGCATGCCGCCTACACTGAGACCTGCCCTCGTCACTCAACCATTCTTTCAAGCACTTAAGTGACACGTCAGGGTCAACTGCACTCGGACAAAGGCCCAATGAAACCGAACCCTCATCCTCACAACTCTCCAGCGCGCAAGACTCATACGACTGCCAAGTGTCTGGAAAAAAGGGAATTAGGGAAGGGACAACCTTACCTAAACTACTACCTGACAGCGAAGTTCCGCCTAGCGCTCCACACTCAGCTTCACTGAGACAGGCGATCCGAGATTCGTCACCACCTGCAGACCTGACCGACCCGCACACTCCCGAACCTTCCACCTGCCCTACAACATTTGTTTGATGAGCATCAGGGGCATCAAAAGGCCCAGCTGACTCACCGCCACACGCCCCGCCCACGAAACTTTCACCCTCAGGATGTCCTAGCGACGCTGGCGAAGCCTTTAAAAAGCGACCTACAGACAACACGTCTCTCTCACAGAGCGAGCAGACCCCAACAGAGTCTTTATCACACGCCCCACACCTAGTACCCAAGCATCCGGAACCCCGACCCGCTACCCAGGCCTCACTAAGTCCCAGAGCCTCATGATTTCCCTGAGCGACATGCTCAAGGCTGGCAGGGGCGATCAACTCCCTAGCCAAAGACGAACCCAGGGCTCCTACAAGCCCCTCAGCAACTGCACTCCCCCGACCCTGCGCCTCAACCAGTGCGCCTGTCTGAGAAGTGCCAACACTAGGAACCACTACAGATCCCTGGCCAAGATTCGCGCTCCCCCGGTCCTGCGCCTCACCTCTAGCACAAGCCGCTGAAGTCTTAAAAGCCTGCTCCTCAAGAGCAGCAACAGAACCTTCGTTTTTGTTTAAGGGTTTTTTGTTTTTTTACGGTTTTTTGGGATTTTTGTGAAGTGTCTGGGTCTCCCCCCTGCTTTGCAAAAGCAGCTCCACGAAGACATGCATGCGCGGACTCACTTGCACCTACAGGAAAACCTAGTTGACTTAAAAACTGAACTTGCTCAGGCATGGCCTTGCTATACCCTTTTAGGTTATACGCGACCAACAACACACGGCGACCTTCACTCCAACTTTCTGAAGCATGCCACACATGCGGATCAAACCTAAACGGGGTCAGAGAGTTCAGGGAAAAAACCTTACCTTTACAGGACTTACCAGATCCTACAACCCTCACATCGTCACCGTCAGGGCACTCTGCCCAGATTCCACCCCCAGAGGGCGGCACAACAAGCGGGAGCACCAAGTTTGGGGAATCTTCATTGTACCTATCTTTGTGAGGGGGCGACTCAACCTGATTCAGGACTGCTACCGTGGTCCAAGACTCTTTCGGGGCAACCTCGCGAAGAATGCAATTCAAGAGCCTAGCAAATCCCGGACTGCGCTTTGCCGAAGTCGTGATGCCGGTCACGCCCCCATGCTGAAAGAAACCCACTACCTTACAAGTGCCTGAAGACTCATGCATCAACTTCCGTTGTTTGGCTTGGCGCGTTTGAATCCACGATGAACTCAAGAGAAAATTGACTGCAGCTTGCAACGGGAAGGGCTTGGTGTCAACAAGCTTTTGAGCCTTGAGGTTTTCGGGATCTTCATGAACACTAGCAACTGTAGTCTTGGCCCTGTACCTACGGCGGGTGGAGGACTTGAGAGGAACCGCTTCCGTAGCCTTATCCTCAGGGATGACAAACCGAGCTGGATCAAGGTATTCAACGTTTTCGTACACACAGCTGGTATTGTACAGTTCATCCTTGACTGTTCGGACAAGATACCCGCCATCAACCTCGAATGCTGGCGCAAGAACTCTAGCCTCAACAGCCTTGGCAGCCCATTCCTTGTCAGCATCCTTCTTCAAATGCCAGGTTCGGCGATGAACAAACACCTTTGCCCCAAAAGGAACCAGAGGCGGAAGATTCCAACCCAGCGCTTTAACCCTGGACTGAAACAACCTCCCTGCTGCGTGCCTCAAAGCGTAAGGCCAGTCCCGTGGGCCAAGCCCTGCATCCCGCAAGAGAACTCGAACAGAGTCCTTGAGAATGCCGACTAAGGCTTCTGCAGTGCCATTCGATCGCCAATTGTCTCCCCCAGTTGAAGACTTCCAAATCCCCCTTGACGCCGCCCAGTCCCGAACAAAGCGGTTATCAAATTCAGCGCCCTTGTCCGAGTGAAGGCGAGCGATTTTTATCCCGAGACAAGACGCGCGAGCATCAATGAGCTTCAGTGCCATCAAGACCTCCTGAGCCCCTTTGTTCTTCAACGGAATCCCGAAAGGAACGCTTACCATCTGAACCTTGCTCAGGTAGTTGTCCTTGTCAACCCCTTCCTCTGGAAGTAGCTCACCAACCTGTTTGTGCTCCGCGTCAGGCTCCTCGTAATCACCAGCTTGTTCCCACTCCGCTGGCTCTTCACTTGCACTTGGTGCAGGCTCGTCGGGTTCGTCGGCTACCGGCTTCTCACTCCCAGCAACATGCACATCAAATGGGACTGACAGATTGGCAGCCAAGAAATACCTAGCCCTGACACCTTCATGTACGCCTTCAGCAAACGGACCAGACAAATCAACAGACAAGACATACGAGTCAGTGATTGGCTGTCGAAAGTGGGGAGGCTGCTTAAGGCGACCCATGAGACAACTCCAACAGGCTTTGTTGTAGGGGATATGCCCCGCGGCTACATGATCCTGAAGCGTTTGTGTCACAGTTTGTTTGGAGAGTCTAGCCCTGGCAGCCTTCACGGTCTCCCTTGCAGCCTGCTGGCGAAACTTGGTAGCAATCGAAGCCAAATACTGCTCAACAGCCTCAATCAACCCAGGTGCCCACTTCGCCCACAACGCGCTGTCACCAACTTTCTTTCCGCCTGAACCGAAACCTCCTCCCTTTACCATCCTACACCACTCAGGCCAATCTTCAAAAGTTGAGGCGATAGTAGTTGGCTTGCGACGCTCATGACCTAAGGCACCCTGGTCAACATGGAATTGTGTGAGGTTTAGGGCCTCTTGCAGTTTGAGGTATTCTGGCGTGACCCAAAGAGAAGGACTCGCGGAGAACGCTTTCCCAAGGAGCTCATAGGGATCCCTGGGATTCTCAAGGACATACCCCAACCTCAAACCCTCACTAGTCTGATTCAGACCCCACTGTGCGGCCATACTCACAAATAGCTGCTTGATCCACAATTCATCGTCAGCCTGGACCTTGTCTAACTCTGCTTGCGGAAGTTCAGGAAGTCCCCATCTGCCCTCACCTTCCCTTGACCTCACCACGGGAGGACCACTCCCATGACCTCGCATCACACTCCGTGTACGACACGGAAGTCCTGACAACACCGCCACCAACCTACCGGACAACGCGAGTGATAAGATGTAGGAGTACACGGCAGGATTCAACAGGTCTTCCTCAACGTCTATCGGCAAGACGCTCAGCCCGAATCTACTGGCCACTGAGTCAAACGCCCTTCGAGCACTCCCACAGAACAGGTGAAGGATCACCCCCTGAGATTGTTCAACTGATCTTCTCCTTCGGCGATTCAACACCCCTTTTACCCCTTCTGAAGGAACCAACCAGGAAGTGCTATCAACCAAATCACCGGGAACCTCAGGAAACAGTGACTGCAGCGTAATCCGATGCCACGCTTGAGCCTTGACTAGATCACCCTCCTGACAACCATCCCTTAGCTTCTCCATTCCTATCGTCCAAGCGGCAGTCTGATCGGCACACGAAGCTCGAGCAACCCTCACCGATTCTGCAACAGCTGCCCCTTCCTCTAAGGATGTTTTCTCAATGAAATCAATGAGAGCTAGCGCAACCGAACGCGTGACCCGGGGGCAACCAGCTTGGATGACCGCAGGGACAGCAACACCTTGAGGATCAAGGAGCAAGAATGCCCTCCGGGACCAAGTGATCTTGAAACCGCACTTGATTAAGTGTCTGGCCGAGACTATCGGTTCAATCTGTTGTGATGTCAACAGCGTACCCGCCTGATTGACCTCAACTTCGGCCTCAGCCTGAGCAAGCGACACCACCCGAACCCCAACAACGACATCTCCATCTACCTTGGCGCGCATACAAGCAGACGCACCTGAGTCTATCAGGCCCGTGGGCTCATTGCTACCTGGCCTACCTCCGTAGCCGTCACCTACAGTTTTTATGGAGGTCTGCAGGGTCTCAATCATGGCTGCGGCTTTCTTGAGAATGTCTTCAGAGTCCGTGGCGGGGGCCTGGCTAGAGGACTGACTAGGTGGCATGGGATTGTTGGAAGCAGGAGCCGAGGCCTGAGCGCTAGCCTTTGCTACCGTTTCACTTCCCTTTCCTTTTCCTTTCGGATTCTCTGAAGCACGTCCGTCCTTAGGCTCATAAGGGCATTCCGATCGCATATGATTGAGCGCTGAGCAAGCAAAGCAACGCTTCTCGGAAGGGTGCAATGGCTCATGAGCAAACTTACAGGCCTTAGCGAACCTGCAACCCTTGTCGGTTCTCCAATGTTTGCAAATCGCCTTACCCTTGCCCTCAGCGCCCTTCGGAGCATCATCTCTAGATTTACCCTTCCCCTTGGCATCGTTGTCCTCAACCTTCGCAATCCTCAAACGCTTACCGGCATCTGCATCCCCGTCCGGCTTCGTCTTAGATCGAACTGTACCTGAAGCCACCAAGGTCTCAAGTTCACCCTGAACGAACCTCACCAACTCCACAACCTTGGCCTCAGTAGGCTGGTGATCTATGCTCTTCGCGAATCGGTAGGACGAAATCCTAAATTGTGATTCCGGGTACAACGCCAACGCCTTGGACACCATCATGTCCACACCTCCTAACAGTAAGGTAGGATCAGGAGTAGAGATGTGCAGTTCTGCTGCTCTGTGCTTCCACCGTGACCACCGTTTAATGCTGCGAAGTGCGGCTACTAGTTCCGTGCAACCGTCAGGGTTCGTGAGATAGCGCAACAACGCAGACCGTTCCTTCAGCCCACCTGGTTGGTAGGTTGTGTGAACCAAGGCTAAGAGCTCGATGCAGGACAACTTCCGATTTGCAACCAACTCTTCCTTGATTACTGTAGGCACGGCACGCAACAGCATCGTCAAAGCTCTCTGCTCAACACGTGCATACTTGGTGTGTTCAAAACGATATGGTTGCGAAGGTTCCAATGAAAGCCGAGCTACTGGGTCACACATCAACCAGTGCTGATAGTAAGAGGTTGCTGCATCCACAACCTGGGACCACCATATGCTGCTCGTGGACGAAATATCCTTCATGGCAGGGCTAATCATCGCCAACCAATCCCCCGACAGAAGAGGAGCCAAGTCCCTTTCATGTTCCTTGATTTCCAGCTTTGGCAACTCTGAAACTGACACCCTGACATCCTCAGCGCGCTCACTGACCTCAGTGGAAGAGCCCGACAAGCCAAGCACACTTTTCAACCATTCCAACCCCTCACCAACCCTCTGTTTAGGAGACTTACTTCCTCCTGGGCTCTGCCTTGCCCCAACGGCAGCAGTAGCAAGCCCCCCTGGACGAGGTGGCGTAGTAGGAGGAAGAGGCGGAGGCAGGATCTCCGTTCCGCCTGGTGAGATCGGGTACCCGCGGTGAGACATAGAGCGCATCCCTCCTTGGACAGACGATCCCCGTACCGGACTCGTGCTTGGACGACCTTGTCCCGAAGTCAAACACCCGCTTTCGCCGACATTTGGCCTAGCAGCTTGACTATGGGAATACTCTAGAGCACCACCCACAATGGAACGAGCCGGGCCTCTGTGAGCCTGGGCTTCCAAGGATCCTAAAGGCCGAGCTTCCCCACCGCCTGTTTCATCACACAAGGCCCTCTGAGGGACAGGTTCGCTCACACGGATCTGCGCATGCTGCGGCTCCAAGGCCGGGAGTTCTGCATTTCCTACGACATGATGACTTGCAGGACCCTCGTGCAACACTGGCTTGAAAGGGGATTTGGCCTTTGGACTACATACGTGTACGAGTGAGCTTGGAGCACTCTGCCCTCCCAGCTGGGGTGTTCTGGCCTCAGAGACCAACACAGCGTTCATTGGACCGGAAACCCCTTGAGACAAAGCACCTAATCCCTCACACTGACTAGCTCTCCCACTCTCCGCTGGCACAGCCGCGCCACGTCTTGGAGTTGCTTCCGCGGTTCTACCCTGCCCAGCGAGTGACGGCCCCTCAATCCCACCCGCACCCATGCCCCCTTCCGCACCCAAAGTCGCTACACCCACGTCAGCCCTGCCGGTACTGCCGATCGGATTTGATTGCCTCAGATGCTCAGGCAAGCGAGGGGGTGGACATTGCGCAGGGAACTGCCACCACGGCGTTAGGAACTGCTGCCGATTCAGTTCGGCCACCATTTCTGATGACAGTCCTCCTCCAAATCCTGAGACTGCTGTCCCAAAGCCCATTGCACCACTACAAGCACCCATGACACCACTGCCCAATCCAGCGTCCGAGGGAAAAATTCCAGGCGGCGCAGCAGTAAGTCGTGGCTCTGCTCTCACCGAGTCTTGAGACATTGATCCCCTGGAACTTTCGATCCGCTCCAACCTTTCTGCAAGCAGTCTCTGGTTCTGAATCACCGGTGCCAACTGTTCGGCCAACAAGCCCTGAAGCATGCCAGACAGCGAATCCAAAGGACCTGACCCACTGCCCGTGGCCTCATGAGACGGCGCTACACGACCAGTCCAGGAAGAAGGAACAGCTGGGTGCTCCGGAAGCTGCGAATAATCCGGAATCAGCTCTACATCGTCCACTTCCATGCGCATACCCCCACTGCTAGATGGCATACGAGCGGGCGCAGACGTTGGACCCGCTTCTCCCACTCGAGCTACCACCGGCCCCGCAAGAGAACCCACATCAGCCGGATCACGCGAGCTAGCTGATTGCCTCGCTGTTTCCTCCGACCCCTCTGAACGTTCTTCATTCAGTAGCTCCCTCGCTTCTGCATCTAGTCCCATTTCTCCAGGCAGACGATAATCGGGCTCAAATGCCTGACTCGCCGTCCCAGCACCACTCAACAACTGCTCCTCCGGAGATGGCCGATCCAGGCCACTCGGAACATCTGACTCGTTTGGATTCTCCATCACTCACAGAGCGTAGCTTGGGCTCATGACCATGGGACAACTTGGAGCACTACTTTATCCACCGCACAGGCTCAACGCAACACAAGGCAGTCTTGCTGTACATAACTTCACAAAATTTTCTTGTTGCTGCTGATACTGGCCATACGGTCCGATCAACTGGAATGTTGAAGAGTTTTAGCGGTCTGACTCGTCTGATAAGTTGCAAACTGATATTGTCCTTCTGGCTACGTGCAGTGCAACCTGAGCCTGAGCCTTCAAGAGCTGCTGGATCTCCGCCCAACACTCCGGCGACTCCCAGACGATGAGGTGCGTACCTCGCAGGAACCGCTCCATCCTTCGAGTCGCGATTGACAGAGTGGGCTTGGATGCGTGACCTTCCGACTCGAGCTTGGGCCGGTAACGGCTGGCTGCTCGTGGAGGACGGCATGATGAAGCTCTCGCCGACCGGAGGGGGGTCCGCCATGCAGGGCCTCGAGATCTTCGAGTCCGTGGGCTCTGTCCCGGACCCCGGCGAGCTGAGTCGAGCCGAGAGCGGAGCAAGGCCAGGTCGTCACGAAGAAGTTTGGAAAGCAGGAGGTGCCGGTCAAGACGCACTCGGAGCTCCCCCACTTCGAGCCGCTCGGGCCACAGCCTGGGATCAAGTGGAGCCGTGGCGAGCATAAACAGGCCTGGCATGCAGTTTGCGAGGTTTGCGAACATGAGGTTCTCGGCGAAGGTGGAGAAGGCCTGGAAGCAGGCGGTGGCTTGGCGCAAGCAGCAGGAGAAGGAGAGGGAACGGGCCGAGCAGCCCCGAAAGCGAAGCGGACAAAAAGCGGAGGAGCTGAGTCTTTCACAGCAACCACATTTTGTGGCCAAGCTGTGATGTAAAGAGTGAATGACGCCAATAAAAATCTTTGGACTGGGATCCTTCCTTTCACAGCTTATGTCTGATGTAGCTGTTCCCTAGCCGCGTTGTGAACGTCTGCAAGCCTTACCGTGCATGAAGCAGGCAAGCATGGATCCTATCACGTCCCGCGCCACATTCTAAGGCTTGTACTTCGAGTCGTAAAGTGGCTGTAGGCTGCAGTCGTACAGTGGATGTAGGCTGCAGGGTTGCAAAGGGTCTGCACTAAGGATTCAGATGTGCTTTGGCATGTTCACCATGACGTTGACGGTTAGGGTTTCAACGTTGGGGTTGCAAGGGTTACAGCGTTCAGAGAATCATGTGACAAGTTGGACCTGTACAGCAGAAAAAGCAATCTGAAGCTGTAGGATTGTTTGGATGAGCAAGAGGTTTCCATTGCACATGCATGATGGTGCTCTGCACGGCAGCTCGGAGCATTCAAGTCGATAACCCAAGCTTATCACCCGAAGCCTGAAGCTCTCATGTCGCAACCTGCAGCCTGAATCTCGGCAGCTGAGCGGAGCGGCTACACTTGTCTTAGTATAAGTTCGATGGTTTTCTCCATCAGCGCACCCGTGACTGCAGGTACTCGGCATTCCTACGGCCATGCAGAGGTGGCTTGCGCGCTGTTGGACGCGGCATCTGGCCGATGCCGAAGGAACTACCGCACTGCTGCTCGCGTGCCACGACGGCCATTCGGAAATAGCACGCCTCCTGCTGGAGGCTTGGGCCCAGACCGACCCACGAAACGATCGGGGCGTTACACCCCTCATGATCGCAGCAAAGGATGGCAACGCTGAAATTGTTTGCTTGCTGCCGGGAGCCAGTGCAGACACAGGCTTGGTGGACTCTTCTGGTAAGACCGCTCTTCAGAAGGCAACTTCGGAGGGACATCAACTCGTGATCCAGCTGCTTATGGCGAAGTGGCATCGTGGCGAATAGGCCTGGTGACCAAATCGTCGAACACGCGACCAAAGCTGCGCGCTCCAAGCTCGCTTGGGTTGTTCTTGGCGCTGGTAGTCTTTATGCTTGGGCTCGTAGGTGCAATGCCGCGATCGCACGACTCGCTGGATGTATTTACGACCATGTCGCCAGGACTAACGTGCTATGCAATTATTCGCAGGACTAAGGCGCCAAAAGGATACCTCGATGCCCAACTGAAGGTTGGTTTAGGTACCGAGGCCCCGGAAGACCCTAAAGCAAAGCACGGCTTTGATGTGTGCGAATTCGGCGATAAGCACTGACTTCGGAGGCAGCCTGCAGCAGAAAGCAGCCGAGAGCTGGAGCTCTTGAATCGCCTCAGTTGTGGCTACGACGATGTGCACCAGTTTGGCGCATACCTCGCGCTTAGAGACCTGGCTAAGGCTTAAGATTTGCAAACGGGGCGGCATGTTAATCGTAGGAATGTGGCAGCCCGCTCTTCAGCTTTCGCGGTCGTTTTGCTTTCCAGAACGGCTGACATTGGAATGTGAGTGACATTGGCACTGTGAACGAGGCCTTGATGGCTCCAACCACATCCACAACCTCTCAGCAGGCACGGATTCCCCATGCACAAGAGCGGTATTAGTATACAATCTCTCGGGTGTTGCCAGTCGTGTCTCGACTTTCAGCGACCTCATCTAAGATGCTGAGCCTGGATTTCCAATTCTAAACCGTACCTAAATCCAGAATCCTAGCCCAAAACGTACACCCCATGAAACCCCCGAAGCGTAAGCCGCCCCACGACAGTCGCCGTCATCGCTTGAACCGTAGCCTAGACCCGATCCGATCTACCCTACGGTAGACCCAGACACCAACCGTGAAACCCTAAACCGCCGTAAACCCCTAGAGACCCCCTAACAGACCCCAGGAACCGCGAAGCGACTGATCGCCTCGGCCCGGGAGCTCTCAGCTGGGCGTCGCAAGCCGAGGCCGAGGATTCTGGATCATCGGTCGTTCCCACGGTTCTTGAGCCTGAGGTGTCTATTCTTAACAGTTGTTTTTACTGTTTACTGTTAAGGGATTAGGACAGCCCTTTGCGGTGCTCTCCATACTCTTGTCATCTCTTGTCACTGTGTGCCTCCTTCTCGACATCTCTCTTCATTCTTTTCCTACTTTCTCTCTTTGCTGGTCTTGCTATCTTAGTGCTACTTAATTGCACGATGTGGACTTCTATGTGCTGTTGCACGGTTCTTGCAGGTGTTCTCGACAAGGGTGGCCGCTGGAATGTGTGCTACTGTGGAGCAGGATCTTTAGGCGCAGGCATCACCGGATTGGAAATCTTGTCTTTCTGTCTCTTCCTGTGTTGTGTGTTCTCCCTGCCTTC